CTGCTTGATTACTGTGAAGTGGGAGCAGCAATTCTTGTAGGAAGGCTGTTTGAGAACCTTAGCCATGTTTTGCCTACAGACCAGTGTTACTTCTTTCTATTGTAAGAGTTTTAGTGAATCAGATCCTCAGATGAACATGGCCCTTGATGATGGCAGTTTACAGTTTGATCATGGTTTTGTCAGTAAGAACCTCACCAGGTGTTGGTGCATCTGAGATAATTTTCTTCCTCTGTCTTCAGATTATTTCTCTGAAAACTGTGTACTTTATCCAAACTCTCATTCTGGTGCTAGGTCATACTCAACAGTGCGGTATACAGGAGGTCAACGAAAAGATCAGCTCATCCCTTCTGGCTGCCTACTCTGTGAACTTTTGAACAGTCCTTATCCAGCAACCAAAATTGGCAGTGTTATCTGCAAAGAAAAACCTCAGTACTCTTCGTGAACTGGACTGACTTAAAGTGCTGACTTCAAGTTGATGGATCCCATGTGTAACTGGTATTCAGAAATCTCATTCTGAGAGTGGGAATAGGGAATTCAATTTGGCCAGCAGAGAAAGACAGCATGCTTGCCCTCTACCACCCTTCTAGCTTGAATCATATGACAGATCTTGGCAGTGCAGTCTCTGTGTGGTTTATAGCTGTGTTGCAAACAAAATCAGTCAGATACCTTTGACTGGCAGGTCTACGTAACCAGTGTATCTATGTTATGAAAAAGTGTAAACAGTTACCACAGGTATAAAAAGGGAGTTAAATTGATTTAATTCTTCATAAACTAATGGTTACTCACGATTGAGAGACTAAGTACATGTAAGTACAGCAAAAGTATGATACATATGAATTCCAGTTATTCCTTTAAAAAACCTCAAAACGTGAGTAAGATGCACTATGAATCTCAGCTCCCTTCAGAAAGGCACAGATTTGCAAATCCAGGATTTTTACTGGTGTTTAAATTGCCCCACTGGCTCTACACCAATTATCTGGTGCTATCAGCAGATCAGGAAATGGAAGCAAAAAATAAGGGGACAAATGAAATATTGCTTAATGTGTTTTCCTCTCATCTTTTTTATCACCTTTAAGTTAGCTCCTAGCACCTATTCCTAGTGTCTGGAATTTGCATCAACATCTACCTTAAGGTAACATTTTTTTAAGCTAAATGAAACTGATTTTCTTATTTTCATTTGTGTTGATGTCTCCTAAGAGGGCTTGTTGGTATTGCATATTGGTCTTGCCTATTGGTCTTGCCTTTTTGTATGAAGAGAGTATTAATTTTTTATGATCTAGGAAGAAACCAACATAGCAGAAGTATTTGTGAGATAAGGAGCATTGTTTTCTTCTGCAGAATGATAATTTTTCTTATAACATTAGGCAGTACATAATATGTTAGGGCATGTGATGTGTATGTGTGTACTTGTGTTTACTCTGTAATACAGTGAACTATTGTCTCTAGCTGGTGCAGAAAAAAATACTCAAATATATTCTACAGATTGATCACTTCTTCAGTGCAAATATCACCTATAGGCCCAGGATTCTTGTAGAGTAAATAGTTATTCTTAATTTTATTGATTGACAACATCTTCAAAATACAGACACCAAGCAAAGTTGCCTTCATGGGGTACAGAGCAATCAAGTTGTCTTGAAATATATAATTAACTTTACATTGAGTACTCCCACATCCCAGAGCGTTTCACTGTTAATTCCTCATTCTTTGCTGCTGACTCTGCACACACTCGGACTCTTGGGTCAGGCGGCGCTTTCTGGATGTGCACACTCCAGGGTAAGGGAAGTCAATTTTACAACATTGCAGTAGAAAGCTGCTCTGCAGAATATTAGTTTCACAGCCATATGCTAGAGCATCATTATAGTACTTTTGCATCTTACATTAGGATAAGCTCCCCTGGAGGAGTGTTTGTGAGTCTCTTTTCTTCCGGATCTTTAGTTTAGAGGAAGACAAAATCTGCCTTTGGGTATAGCTGACAGCAGGTATAGCGCCTTCTGAACTTCCATATTCATTCATGAGCACCTCCTTCTGGAGATGTGACAGATCCTGAAATTGGGAAATTACTTTTTTTAAATACCACAAAGTTTGCTCTAAAGCCCATTTAGCGAAATCTGCTGCTGGCCACCACACTGACAACTGCTAGTAAAATTGCCTGGCAAATGCTGGTAATTCTGAACATGAGTATGTGTGAACTGAACATCTACTCTATTGTTTAGGCAATATTTCTTTAAGCCCTCTAAATTGCTAGGCATTGTAGATTGCTTGAGAATGAAGCCACAAAGCTCTTAATGCTTCTATGGGAATACTGAATCTTTAGACTTTAGTTCATCTTCTAAAGATCTACAAAAAATAAATAACCTGAGATGGAAAATGGAAATACAAAAGTAAAAAAAAAAGAAAGTAATATTTTTGAGAGGAAGTATTTGAAAGTATTCATTCCGGGATTGCACTTGATATTGAATATCCAATACAGATTGAGTTTTGCTAACTCCATTTACTCAACTGGAAGATGGAATGATGCACACGAGTCCTGTCCTCACAGTCTCAGGTAAGTTTAGAAATGATCCTAGTTCCAGAGGTCTGCAGGAATGACAACCCTATGCCTGCTCACAGATGTGGATGCATGTAATTAGCCTATAAAGAGCTACAGATCTTTGATACAAAGGACTATGCCACAGAAATTTTCCAGTGCATTTGGAAGAGCACAGAAGAGGCAAGTGTTGTCTTCTGTCGTATTCCAGCAGCTAATCTAGGGAATGTGAGAGGCACAAGAGGATATCTAGACTGGAAAGAAGAAGCAATGTTTATTTGTTGTTTTAAGTGTGTCAGTGTACACTGTACTAAGGGTTGGAGAGGACGTTTGAAAAAGGCAGGAGTGTATTCCAATTTTATGAGATACGTTGTCAGGATGTTAGATTTATTTTCATTGTTGTGGCTATAGCCTGGTGCTCTGACTATACAACTCACAACCTGTTTCTGTGTGAAACAACCTACTCTTAGGAAAAGAAATTAATTTAAATAATACAATGATATAGAAATGTCAGAAGAAATTGTTTCTTCTCATCTGATAGTCTTAAAGGCAAGTTTATATGACTCCAGTGTCTGTACATAAGAAGGTAAGCCAGTCTGCAAGAAACTTTTACATATTCAGAATTGTTTGTTATATTTTAATGTTTGCCTCCCACTGTCTTCTGACAAGTACAGAATCAGCGGTGGTTGAAAAAGCATGTAGGAAACAATGTATTTGGTATAGTGGTTTGATGATAAATCAACATTCTGTCTTGCTCCACCACAGCCAGTCAAAAGAAGTGATTTATTTGTGTGTTTGAAGATTAAAAACATCTTCAGTAATTGTGTTCAGTTATGTAGTATAATCTGATGAAACTACTTCATTGTACTGTCAGCTAAAATTGACCATCCCATAGATTTATCAGCAGAACACAAAGCATTGACTTTATCACATCTAGCATTTGGGAACATGAAGAGAAGGCCATTTTGTAAAGGCCTAGCAGGAGATTAGGAAAAAAAGATGCACGTCTGACCCAGCACTGATGGTGATTTTACCATTAAATTCAGTGGATGCAAAATCAGAACAGACATATGTATTATGAATGTGACCTATTCCCTCTTATGGAGGTGCTTGGATATCGCAAAGACAAAAAGTATAAGGGTAGTCAGAAAAAGAATTTCAAATGCTTGGATAAATATTTATAATTTTGCTATCTGTGCTTTATGTGCTCATGTTCTATTTTGATCTCTTCAGTCAGGAGCAAAGTTTGAGTATGACATTTGTGGAACAAATAGGAAATGTATTTCACAGAGCTACCTGTTCAAGTGCAACGCTACTTCTCCTGCAGCAAAAAAAGAGAAACGTTCAAATACTTTTGTAAAAAAATATTAAGAATGTATATTAAAAGTATAAATCCATCTAGTATCCCTTTGGAAGGTGAAAAGTAGCAAAAGGAAAAATGTTCATTACAGAGACATGGTGCCCAAGTTCTGCCATCACTGCCAGTTGTGCATGTTCTATAGAAAAAGGTTAATGGAACCCAAAAATCTCATTTAAATGTAATTCCATTGCTGTAAAATCTGGCTGAATCCTTTTCTGTTTTGAACTGCAACTGTTTAGAATAGGTCTAAAATTGGGAAAGATGTACTGAAAGTTAAGCATGAAAGAGCTTTTGTGATTCCAGTTAAAAAAAATTGCCTAAATGTTTAATTTAATGTACAAATAAAATCAGGAATTCTTTCCACAGCCAATGCCTGCTCCAGAGGAAAAAGGAAAAAAAATCTAAATTGCTATTGGATAGATGAATGTCTAGAGGTACCACAGTATTTGCAGACTTCTCAGATTATGTGAAAGCTGAGTATCTATGAGTAGGAAGTTGATTTGCTTTGCAGTGTGTGCCTGATTGCTTCCATTGCCGCATAGATAACACCATTATTGTGGAGAACATTCATACATCATTAATCTTGTGGGAGAATACCTTTTCCCATTTAGCCCCCAAAGAACTGTGTTTATTTAAAGTTTGTAAGGTCATGGTGCTTAATTAAAAAAAACAAAGAGAGAAAACTCTCTAACTGGGCAATTTGCTACATCCTTTTAAAATGTTAAGTTATAACAGCATCATTTATATGATTACGTAGGAATCACCATTCAAATTATGAAGCCTCCTCATTTTTTTGCAGATCATAGAATCACCAAATCCCAGGCTGGTTGGAAGGGTCCTTAAACCTCACCCAGTTCCAACCCTCTACCATGGGCAGGGACACTTTCCATTAGACCAGGTTGCTCCAAGCCTCATCCAACCTGGCCTCGGACACTTCCAGGGACTGGGCAGATGGGTCATCTCAATTTAACTTGGCTCCTAGTAGCACCCTAGAAAGTCCAAGGCTTCTTTGCAGTAGAAAGATCCTGCTATCAATTCTTAAACTATCTGAAGGGATAGTATTGTACAGTGATATTGACAGAATTACAGTAATTCTGTGTTTTTCTTTGCCAGTTGCATTTTCAGGCCTTGGCTTTACCACCTTCTACTTAGCTGGAAAGTTACACTGCTTCACGGAAACTGGGCGGGGGAAGAGCTGGCGGCTTTGTGCAGCGATTCTCCCACTCTACTGTGCCATGATGATTGCGCTGTCACGTATGTGCGATTACAAACATCACTGGCAAGGTGAGCCATGGAGATACCTTTCTTCTGCTATTTTTTAGTAGCCTTGTATTTCTTTGATTATTTTAATTAACTCATATGAGTTAAAACTCATGATAGTATGCTATAGATTTTCCTTCCTCCTGGATTGATGCTGAGGGTTTGTGTCTGAAAATACTGCAGGGGCTCTTTACTATTCCGTATTTGTAAGTACACCATGTACATCATTGTAGTTATATACAAATCTAGATCAGTGGGTTCTTACATCATCCTTTTTTACAAGTGTACGTATGTGCCAGAGCTGTCTTGGATGGATCCAGCTGTAGGCTAGATCTGGCCCATTAGAAGCTCTGCCTAGTCCTTGTCTACTGCTTTTCCAGGTATCTGTTAGGTACCTGTTGGGTATGTGAGGGACTACTAATATGTGGATGCATGTGCATTAGACTAGACTGACTCATCTGTGTGTAGCTAGTCGTTGCAAAGATGCACTCAGTCATTTGTCTATGTTCTGGTTATTTGAAGCACATGATGTAAGACACTGTTTTTCAATCAAATCAAAATATATTTGGCATGAGGTGGGTTCATGGTCCCTCCTTGACAAGTATAGAGACATTGCATACCAAGCTACATAGCATAGGTTGTAACAGATTCTGCCCACACTGAAAAACTTGCTGAAAAGTTCGATGCTTTCTGTTCTCTTAACTTTTTTGGTCCAAGCTGTAATTGCTCCCAGGGTGTTAATTCTACACTTTCCAAAGTCTGGTCCTACTTGAGGAAGAGAAGTATTTTATTTTCTTGTTATGTTTTGTTAAAAAATGATTTTCCATAGCTTTGGGCTGCATCTATTTTGTTGCCGATATTTTGTTATATTGACTAGATGTTAGAGTGATGGATTCAGCATGGTACCATTCACAGGGTAGCAGTGAATATTCATTAGATTTTAACTGCAAATAAATGTTGAATGTATTCAGTATGAATGAGGAGGTTATTGAAGTAGGATGCAGGGTTTTTCTTAGTCGTAAAGTATATCCACAAAGCTAAAGAAACATGCTATGCAATGTTAAAACTTAGAAGGAGTTACAGTTATTGACAGAATGGGAGATGGCTCTTAAGTCTTCAACAGCAGCATCTGCTATACGAGTGAATTGTATAAAAGATCTGCTCGTGGATGAACCTACATACTTAAAGGTCTGCCTATAATTGACAACAAGGGATATCCTTAAATGAAGCATCAAAAGTCTGAAGGATGCTTAATCCTAATCTTTTATATATGCAGACGATACGGTGTTTGGTGCATCTTCTTAAAATAAAAGATTGGGTCAAGTCATATTCTAGCCAGTGCCTTTTGCCTCACTTCCATTACTGTTTGTGTTCAAATCTGAGGATTTCAAAGTCTGTGTGTATTTTCAGTGATATTTTGCTCTGGTTGTTTGGAAATAAAACACATGATCTGGGGAGTATATTAGTAAGAGGGAGGGAGAACCTGACAACAGAACAAATCCTCTTACCCTTCCAGTGCTGTGTGGTTCCCATGGAAAACTTTAATGACCCATATGTGAGAGCTGCAAATATCTCATATCATACACTGACCATATTTTATCTGACTTTATTTTCTGGTAGGAGTATGGGATAGCAAAGAGCATCAAAAGAAATTCAAAAGGTGTCAAATCAGTTACCAGGCATGGTTAGCTTAGTGTTTGACCTTTCAGGTGGTTTTAGGAAGAATTCACCCAGCTTGAAATGGTCCTTGACAGCTGTCTTTCTCAGGAACTGCAAGTGAAGTTAATCATTCTAGCGAGAGTGGCCCACTTCTGAAAGAATATATTTTCCATCTTATATTCTACTTGCTCCTTGTCTGCATTGGAGAGTGCCTTCTGGAATACAAAACAAGAGTAGATCTCTTGTAGCTGCTGTTCTGGGGGTACTTGGTCAGAGACAAGGAGCAGACTGCATTCAGTGCAATAGTTTGCAGTGTAGCTCAGTGGGGGAGCTCTGGATGCTGTAAACAGTGTAGTTCTGCTGTATTGTTCATAAAAAGAAAACCTGATGGTGGTCACTGAAAATCATGGCACACTAGAAGAGGATACATGGGTTGCTTACCCACAAATATTGGTCAGAGGTAACACCACACAGGCCCCACGAAGGCTTTTCTATTCCCCTTGTTCATCTCCTGAAACATAGCCAACTATCCAGATTTTGGCTATTCAAACTCTTGGGGATGTCCCCAACAAAATACTGATTTTATGTGTTCTATGTGATTGTGGTGTTGGGCTCTAAATTCTTTATGAAAATTTGAAGTTTACATTTTCCAGGTTAAAGAATTCCAAGTCAAATATCTTTTATTTACAGTTATTGCTACTGCCTGACCTTTCCATGGTAACATGCTTCTGGTTTTGTTGCTTTTCTCCTCTAGATGCTTTCGTTGGAGGGATCATTGGCCTCATTTTTGCTTATATTTGCTACAGACAACACTACCCTCCTTTGGGTAATACAGCGTGTCATAAATCTTACGTCAGCCTACTAGATCAGAACTCTGTGAAGAAAGAAGAGAGACCTACAGCAGATAATGCTACTGGGCTGCCTCTAGAGGGAATAACTGAAGGTCCTGTATGACTTTAAGAAATGTGCAGAATGAACTTTTAGCCTTCTCACATTTCCTCCAAACTGGTCTCTCTAACACGGTGTTTCTTACTGTTCGTTGTTTTAGTTTTGTTTCTTGCCGTTTTATAAAGAGAAAATAAATATTTTGGTTTTAATGGCATAATATCATCATACTTTTAAAGTTAAATTTTCAGTTCACATTGACTTGCTGAATTATCTGTTTTCAGTCTACTGCAAACAGATAGGCTACTTGAGGGAAGGGGAAAGAACAGGAGTAAGAACAGTGTCGTGTGGAGAAATGATTAAGAAAGTAATTTTAAGAAGATGTGGTTGAGGATAGAGTAGATCTGGAAACAGATTTTCTGAAGTACTGATGATCTCCTATCAAGTTCTGGTCATCTTCAGCACTCATTGATTTTGATGGGTGGTGAGTACACAAAGCACTTTTCACCAGATGTTCAGCATCTGTTGTGGCCAGACATTTCTCTATATAATTTAGTAAGTTAGGGCATCATCTTTATGTTTAGCTCGTTGCCTTCTAACATTAAAAAAATCTCCACATGCTGCTAGAACTTTGTATTAATTGTCAAGTTTTGACAAGGTCATTCTGAGCTACTAATGACCAAGCAGCCAAAAGGTATGAATGGTTAAGTGTTTGTAAGAGCCAAGCTTCATGCATTAGTGGTTTCACAGGATGATTCTGACAGTTAAGAAATTCCACATTGTTAAAATTATTACATAGCTTACAGAAACATAGATGTTCATAGGAAGGATTAGAAACTTGGTGTTTAAATAAAATCAGCAATTTTTTGAGGGCAATTACAGTAATTACTGCCAAAACAAAATGAAAGGACACCCATGGCATTCAACAAGCTGAAGTCTATGAAAAATCCTAAAACTGTGAGGATAAAGAATCACAACGTTTCCTGTGAATCTCGGTGTGCCATGTTCATTCTTGTGTTGTGACTCATTGCAGCATTGGTGATCTAAAGAAACGCAAAGATGCTCATTTGTGACTTTGGGCGCACAACCATGAATGCTTGTGGTGGTCTCCAGCGCTGTGACACATCCATAGGAATGCTTGAGACAGTTTTCCACTAGACCCATTCCACATTCTCAGCTGATCATGTTCTCGAGCATGGTGTTTGCAAAGATGGGCTTGGTACCTGAATTGAAACTTACCTGAATCGCAACACTGTTGGTACGGAGAAGGTTACTAAGTGTATGATTTTAGTTAATTTATTACTGGTAGGATTATGTATGCACTATGCAGTATACATCCCATCCCTGTGAAATGATGTACCTTTGGGTCTCATAATGTCAGATTCCAGATATTTTTTTTTCCCTTAGATACCCTGTGAAAACGCAGGCAATGTTCCAGACCACATCTTGGCAGTTGAACATTTCTTATCTGGAGCTGCTGATTAAAGTGATCAAGACAGCGCTGATCAATGACCATTATCACGGTGCTTTAGACTGGAGGAGACTGGTGCCATAACTATAATTTCTGTGTTCTGTTGGAATATGTATTGGCTTTGTAGGCATTTCGTGATTCAAACAGCTCAATGTCTTTATGTAAAGCTTGTCATTTACTTTTCTCAAAGGTAAGCTTTGGAGATTTTTCTGAGAAGAGCTACTTCCTGATTGGCAACACTTGAATTTTTATAGAAAGCAAGTAAATTAGAAACCCTTTAAAAGTAAATGTAATAACTGTGTATAAGAGGATGAAACCTTACTATGTATAAACTTATATGACATTTGGAAATAACTATAAATAGGAAACACGTGAAGGAACAGAATGTAATAGTCATGAACCCAGGAGGGTTCTGTAGAAATTAGGCCTGATCTACTTGTAAAACTGATATCAGTTTGACTGCGTCAGTTAGAGGTAGGCCTTTTTTCTGACAGTTACAGGATTCTGAGCTCTAGAATAGAGACAGTTACCCAAACGTAACTGGGGTTGCTGGTGTATATATGCTAGTTCACAAAACTAGCATCAGCAAAGCAAAATTATTCCAGCACTGCATTTGCACTGGATTTGACAGAGCACTCGAGTCTTATTCTAGAAATCCACACAATTTAGTGGAGGTTTAGTCTTTCTATAAAGTTTTTAAACCATCCTACAGAATTCTGTAACAGGGATATCATTTTGTATTATTTCATACGGAAGGATTAACAAAAGCCCTACAGTAAGGGTATCATGTCTTTACATTATACAGGGCTAAACCATTAGCTTTTTCTTTCAGCAG